TATCAACAAGTTTAAAAGCTTCTCAGATTCAGAACTCATACATTTAGATAGTTGGTACTATGTACATTTATCGATGTTTTTTGTAGTAGTAGTGGTACTAGAATTTTTGTATTTCTAAAATACAACTAAAAGAACAACATGCTTACTCAGATAGTCTGAGAAGTCGTGGTTTGTGTCCTCCCATCGGATGAGAGCGTTCTGAGTCTGAAAATGAGTCTTCTAATCCGGCCTCCTCCTCAAGGATGATAGACGGCATCGATAGGATCGACGACAAGAGCAATAGGGGCTTTGTGAAGCACTTTAAGGTGCAGCACGAAGAAGCTGTCCGAGCTGCAATAGACTGGCATGCCGCGGAAACTCAGAGAGCTTGTCGGGATATTGCTGCAATATTAAGGGTCGTTCCAAGTTGGCCTGCTCTGCCTCTCGCTCTCTGTGAGCATTGCATATCTAGTATGGCTTCATCTGTGAGTACTAGGAAAGTCGTATTAGATATGCAGCGAAATAGTACATCGGGCAACTTGTAACCCCTAACAACAGACCAGGAATTGATACGGTTGACAAGTCGTCCCTTGGATGCGGTGGATTTTTTTGATAGATATGGGGCTGCGGCACAGCAGGCAATGAAAGACAGACCCAAAGTTCTGCACTTGCGGGACCCTCGTATTAAGGCTTGTTACAGTTGTAATTCGTCTAGTAGTTCATCTACTTAACAAGTATCTTTCTCTTTCTTGGGCTTGGCCCCCCCTGTCATTCTAAGCGGGAAGTAGGAAACACCAAGTCAAACTCAAACAAGTCAAAGATGCCTTTCAAGTAAATGAACTATATTTATAATATATATATTATAAGTAAGTAAATAAAAGGTCTAATCAGAGCTACCGCGACAATGATATTACTGGCCGTCGCATTGAGGGAGCTCGAGCTAAAGAGTTGGCAACGTCAAAGAAGAAGAAAACGTTGGCAGTCGAAGCTTTCACCGGATTGAATATTGATAGTATACCTCTGGCAAATTCAGCGGTGGCTGGTGTGGATCATGATACTAATTTTAGGTGATCATGACACAACTGATTTTAAGGTACTGCAACATAGATACGGGTGGTCTCGACATCTATCATGTAAGTTCTATTTCTTAGAGCCATGATCATGCCCTTAGAGGGAGGTACTAGTAGTTCATAAAAAATAAAAAATCGATATTTATGTGGTGGCTAGCATTGGAGGACTTGATGTGATGCCCTTTGTAGAATGAATCTTTTTTACCAGACAAAAGGAAAACGACAATAAACACTCGAGTTGTAAGTCTCCGACTACTGGACAAGGACATGGTGGCAAGAGAGCAGATAGGTATCTTCAAAATACCGCTTCTGCGGTTGGATGTTTCTAGCTTTAGGCATTCATTTTTGCCTACTCAGTCTTAATGTAGCTTCAAGGAATTCAAGTTAAACTTTAACTTCTATATTTTACTACAGTAAGGATACTCAAGGATACTATCTGCAACTGCGGTTTAGGTAGTACTCCTACCCTAAGGATACTTTTACTTACCCGCCTTAGTACCGTGAGTGAACTTCTCTGAATAAATGTTAAGCTGAGATGATGAACTTCTATGCATATGATGCACAACATTCGTCTGCTAATGATGCACATTCATCTGCTAATGATCCACAACATTCGTCTCCTCGATCGTCTCCGAGGTCAAAATCTCCGAAGTCATCTCCACGAGGAGGGCAGCACAATGTAGCAAAACCAAAACCGAAACTTCGCGTGTCCAACAATGTCACAAGTTTCCAGATTGACGGTGCTGGATCCGGATCTCCGACTGGAAGTCTCGCTACGGCTGGAGGCAAAAAACCAAAACCGAAACTTCGCGTGTCCAACAATGTCACAAGTTTCCAGATTGATGGTGCTGGATCCGGATCTCCGACTGGAAGTCTCGCTACGGCTGGAGGCAAAAAACCAAAACCGAAACTTCGCGTGTCCAACAATGTCACAAGTTTCCAGATTGATGGTGCTGGATCCGGATCTCCGACTGGAAGTCTCGCTACGGCTGGAGGCAAAAAACCAAAACCGAAACTTCGCGTGTCCAACAATGTCACAAGTTTCCAGATTGATGGTGCTGGATCCGGATCTCCGACTGGAAGTCTCGCTACGGCTGGAGGCAAAAAACCAAAACCGAAACTTCGCGTGTCCAACAATGTCACAAGTTTCCAGATTGATGGTGCTGGATCCGGATCTCCGACTGGAAGTCTCGCTACGGCTGGAGGCAAAAAACCAAAACCGAAACTTCGCGTGTCCAACAATGTCACAAGTTTCCAGATTGATGGTGCTGGATCCGGATCTCCGACTGGAAGTCTCGCTACGGCTGGAGGCAAAAAACCAAAACCGAAACTTCGCGTGTCCAACAATGTCACAAGTTTCCAGATTGATGGTGCTGGATCCGGATCTCCGACTGGAAGTCTCGCTACGGCTGGAGGCAAAAAACCAAAACCGAAACTTCGCGTGTCCAACAATGTCACAAGTTTCCAGATTGATGGTGCTGGATCCGGATCTCCGACTGGAAGTCTCGCTACGGCTGGAGGCAAAAAACCAAAACCGAAACTTCGCGTGTCCAACAATGTCACAAGTTTCCAGATTGATGGTGCTGGATCCGGATCTCCGACTGGAAGTCTCGCTACGGCTGGAGGCAAAAAACCAAAACCGAAACTTCGCGTGTCCAACAATGTCACAAGTTTCCAGATTGATGGTGCTGGATCCGGATCTCCGACTGGAAGTCTCGCTACGGCTGGAGGCAAAAAACCAAAACCGAAACTTCGCGTGTCCAACAATGTCACAAGTTTCCAGATTGATGGTGCTGGATCCGGATCTCCGACTGGAAGTCTCGCTACGGCTGGAGGCAAAAAACCAAAACCGAAACTTCGCGTGTCCAACAATGTCACAAGTTTCCAGATTGATGGTGCTGGATCCGGATCTCCGACTGGAAGTCTCGCTACGGCTGGAGGCAAAAAACCAAAACCGAAACTTCGCGTGTCCAACAATGTCACAAGTTTCCAGATTGATGGTGCTGGATCCGGATCTCCGACTGGAAGTCTCGCTACGGCTGGAGGCAAAAAACCAAAACCGAAACTTCGCGTGTCCAACAATGTCACAAGTTTCCAGATTGATGGTGCTGGATCCGGATCTCCGACTGGAAGTCTCGCTACGGCTGGAGGCAAAAAACCAAAACCGAAACTTCGCGTGTCCAACAATGTCACAAGTTTCCAGATTGATGGTGCTGGATCCGGATCTCCGACTGGAAGTCTCGCTACGGCTGGAGGCAAAAAACCAAAACCGAAACTTCGCGTGTCCAACAATGTCACAAGTTTCCAGATTGATGGTGCTGGATCCGGATCTCCGACTGGAAGTCTCGCTACGGCTGGAGGCAAAAAACCAAAACCGAAACTTCGCGTGTCCAACAATGTCACAAGTTTCCAGATTGATGGTGCTGGATCCGGATCTCCGACTGGAAGTCTCGCTACGGCTGGAGGCAAAAAACCAAAACCGAAACTTCGCGTGTCCAACAATGTCACAAGTTTCCAGATTGATGGTGCTGGATCCGGATCTCCGACTGGAAGTCTCGCTACGGCTGGAGGCAAAAAACCAAAACCGAAACTTCGCGTGTCCAACAATGTCACAAGTTTCCAGATTGATGGTGCTGGATCCGGATCTCCGACTGGAAGTCTCGCTACGGCTGGAGGCAAAAAACCAAAACCGAAACTTCGCGTGTCCAACAATGTCACAAGTTTCCAGATTGATGGTGCTGGATCCGGATCTCCGACTGGAAGTCTCGCTACGGCTGGAGGCAAAAAACCAAAACCGAAACTTCNCTACAGACCTGGCAAAGGCAAAGGCAGGGCCCCGCTGGCTTGTTGCATGTGCCCTACAGACCTGGCAAAGGGGGCAAAGGCAGGGCCCCGCTGCCTTGTTGCATGTGCCCTACAGACCTGGCAAAGGGGGCAAAGGCAGGGCCCCGCTGCCTTGTTGCATGTCCCCTACAGGCCTGGCAAAGGCAGGGCCCCGCTGCCTTGTTGCCTGTGCCCTACAGACCTGGCAAAGATGGCAAGGCTGGCGCCCTCTGGCGTGTTGCGGTACCCGACAGAGCTGGCAGAGGAGGCAAGGCGGGGCCCCCCCCTTGGCGTGCTGCATGTGGCCAACCATACAGACCGCGCGAAGGTGGCCAGGCTGGACCCCTCGGGCGTGGTCCACCCCAGATCCATCCACAGGGGGGGGGCCTCCCTCCCTGGTACATATATAGGCTTTTTACCCAGTGTGCTTCATCTTCTGCTCGGGGTAAAGATAAGAACAGTTCGTGATAAAGATAAGAACAAGGGCGCAACCGGAAGTAGATGAATCAGCGTAGTTTTGATTCAAAGGATATTAAGCGTTTTCTGCTTCTACTTGTGTCCATGGTCAGCGTTCACAGTTTAAGAGATTGTAGATAAAGATACGTAGTGATTGGTACACCTAGACCCTCTGTGGCTGCACATATCGCATTGTTCTAGTATTAGGTAACCTGATTTTGATCCTAAGGAAATAGAAGAAGAGAATCCTTGTGATCCAATTTAGGTTACCAAATGCCAAAGCCATACACATACTCGCCTGAGGATACAGGTCAAATTGTGGACGGCGAGTCACCTCCTTCAATCCACCTATCCTAGTAAGACACTGCCAGCAAGAACCATTGTATTTGTAATGAGGACACCTTCTCAGCTTCTAAGCCAGAGCAGGAGCGGTCGCCTCGGCGAGTGTTGGACTCTACTAATGATTTGAATCATCATGAAGGCGACGTGATGTTAATGGGTGGTGGTAGTAGAGAAGAGAAGCGGACGCCACGGAGCAGACCTGAGAGTCGATTGCGCAACAAAAATCGTGGAAGCAGTGTTGCTGGCTATAATGAGTTTAGCGGACAAGAACTAGCCAGTAGTATCAGGAAGAAGAAAGTCAACTACAACACAACTGCTTCAACTAGTACAACGCCGAGGAGCAGACCTGAGAGTCGTCTGCATAAAAATACCCGCGATTCGGGCGATAATCAGTTTTCAGACGGTGAATTTAGTAGGAAGAATAGTGCTCCTGTTGCCAGCAGCACCGCCAGCGATCCACTAGATGTAGAAGCGATGATGCCCATGCTAGAGCTACCCGGACGTGGAGGCACGAGTAGAGAAGAGATGAACGCGACGCCAAGGAGCAGACCTGAGAGTCGACTGCATAAAAATACCAGCGATTCGGGGTACAGTCAGTCTTTCGGCGCACATCAATTTAGAAGTAGGAAGAATAGAGGTGCAGAAGTCAATGGTAAGGTCAGCCTTTAGCCATCTTTCTCGGCATCTTGGTACCCTTTTCCCCTGTATTTCATGGGAAAGGGGTCGAGATGAGGGAACCGAGCTGAGTGCAACTGGCTGACTCTAACAATGCCCCTGCCGAAAGCACCGCGGCGATCAATTCATCGGCAGACTATAATAATCTGAATGATGTTAATATGGTTTCGATGATGAGCGCAGCAGACGACCCCGCCAGCTCGAAGCCGAATCGCCGTGATGGTCGATTGCCTAATCAAGGTGCTTCTGGGTATGCAAGCGGCAAACCAGGCATACGAATGCAAAGTTCCCGTCCTCCACCAGCCGAATTGGTGATGACCTCTCCAAATTTGACACCTCGTGAGCTTCAACAATTACAGCAGAGAAAAGCGAAAGAAGACGCAAAAATATTAATGCAGATGAATGATGTAAATGTTGGACCACGACTTGGAGCGCAGCGCGGGGAAATCACTCCTACACAAAAGTCACCTCGTGGAGAAGTTAAAGTGAAATCTCCGCGAAATCAATCGCCTCGAGGAGAAGTTTTAGCGCAAAACTCACCTCGTGGAGATGGAGCAGCTTCAAGGCTAAAATCATCAAGCGGAGAAACTTCATCTTCAACGCGACAATCACCCCGAGGAGCAAAAGCTTCAATAACGCAAAAATCACCAAGAGGAGACACTACTCGAGGAAAATCGCCAAGAGTAGAAACTTCAACGCAAAGATCACCAAGAGGAGCACAAACTTCATCGCGAAATGAGTCACCTCGTGGAGCAGAAACTTCAACGCGGCAGAAATCACCGGGAGGCGAAACTTCACGACAACAACGGCAGTCTCGACAATCAAGAGTACGCGAGCGGATACCCGAGGAAGTGAGGGAAGTGCTAACGCCGCCGTACTTAAGGCTAGTGAGTCACTATCCTGTGCGGGCTATGTTAAGGAGGTTCCCACCTTTAACTGTCAACAAACAAGGAAGAGGATTTATATTTAAAGGACCACCTCGACCTCCAGTTGTACGAAGGAAACAAGGGTGGAACACTCAATCGCTACCCAAGGTCATAGTGATAGTGATTCGTCCCTAGCGTTAAGTTAGACACCGAGAGACATGGGTATGGACGCTGGGAAATTGCAGAGTATCGTCTCTTCGTTGGAGAAAAAGAAGGTTTACGAAAATAGAGTTAGCGGAATAAAAAAGGGCCCAGAAAAATCAGCAGTTTCTCCGCAGCTCGTTTCTTAAGGCAGAGATGGATGAAAGATACCCACGATACCATTTTTTCACACTAATAGTATTTTTTTTAATAAATGCCAGAAGTACAACCACAACTGTGCATAAGTACAATAAATTTCAGTTATCCGAAAGATTAAGGTTCTTATTTATCCCACAACCAACAACATAAGCATTAATATATATTCTCTGCATACAATGGATAAATTTAAGTTACGTAGTACAACACGACCTACAAGAACTTCTTTCATATCTGTTCCCTTCGCATTGGTGATATATCACCAGAGACCCCGAAGACTGGAGGTGGCGCGCGAGAGTTGTTGAAGGAACTATTTCAGATGGAACGAGCTCAAAGGGAGCTAGAGGAACACGAGCATGCTTTGCAGCAGCAGTTGGATTTATGAAGACTTTTGTGTTGATCGTACAAGTTTGTTTTTCCATGTTTTTACAGCTGGTGGATCATCTTTATCATTGGAAGTCCTCCAGCAGTTATTTTTTGAGACTTGCTCTTCGATTTAGTAGAGGAGCGGGTGCTGGTTGTTCTTGTGAGCATCTACTTTTAAAGTAGTTTTTGACAACATCTAATTTCTGACGTGGAGAAAGAGCATGCGGAGTTTCAGCGAATGCTAGTTGAAGCAGCAAGAAAAGCTCGCGCTTCCCCAGTACAATTAAATTATCTGTCATTCTTCTCTTGATTTGTGTCTGTATTAAGTTGTATTAAGTTGTGTAAGTAAGTAGAAGTACTAGTAGTATTATTGTTGAAACATGTCGTTGTCGGCTGCCCGGCTGATTTAATGGAGTACTTCCTCTCAAAAGCACACTTCTTTTGCTAGGTTTTTGTCCATATCATCCACTATTGAGCAAGATCTTGTTTCATTCACCAGCGCAAGAATCTGCTCGTAACACAGAACTCCTCCACAAAATGACCAGGACGAGATCGCCGAGTTGCGGCAGAACACGAAGGTTTCGCATGAAGAGGTGAAGAGGCTTAGGGAGGAAACCAGACATGTGGAAATGCTAGTTCTGGCAACCATGGGTAAGCGCAAGATTATGGCTACCACTCAACCATCCTGCTCAGTATGTTGATCATCCTTGGCCCCTTTGTTTGCTACTTGAAAGAGAAGCCAAGGATGCACTCAGGGATGGCGCCAACGCGGTAGCTCTAACAAGAACATCGAGCGACAATTTGAGTCTATGAAAGTCGCCAAACAGTCGAAGAGGAGTTGAAAGATAATAGGGTAGTGCTTGGACATTACGATTACCACTAGTAAGTAGATTTTTAGGTTTATTCGTGTGTTGAAGGATAGATGATACAAAATCTTTGTTGGAGTATTTGATGAATACTGTCATTTTTACCACTAAAACCATTGAGAATTTGATTTATAAGTTTATCAGAGTCATATTGTCAACAACAGTTTTTCTTTTTGATGTGCCTGCCAACATATCTAGTCGTCGTCGTCGCTTTTTGAAATAGATTGAGTTATCAAACTGGCTTTTCTTTTGCTGTTTTTTCAGATGCAGCCTGATGCTTATGCCTTATAATTCCGAAATATGTTTATTAGTATTTGTTCGATATCGCTCAGCAAATGCAAAACTAAATTGACAGCTCCTAGTCCTGCCTGGAAACCACTGGTGGCGATTTTAAGTAGTCCAATTGGAGATCTAACTACTCATAAGTTTTTTTTGTAGGATTTACGATATGTATTAGAATCTGTATGATCATAATCATAATTGGTATTTTAGAATTTCCGTCGTGCTGGTCACCCTATGAATTTCGAAATATTTTTACCTAGCCTCCTCGACGTGTTAAAGCTAATAGTCCTCGTATATACAACGTGTACTTAAAAGATGGCCCCTTAGTCACAGATGGCAAGGGCGCCGCGAGCGCGACACCTGTGAGGTGATAGGGTCGTCGCCTGCGAGGATAATAATGATAATGAAAGTGCAGTATGGATCGTTAGAGTTGTGAGCTTCAATTTGTACAAACTTGAGTGTTTTTGTTTTCGCGTTGCTTCTCATTCAACATCTTAGCACTTGACATCTAAAGATGAATTCGTATTCGAATTCACCCTGTCCCATGCGTTGTTTACTACATTTTTAGTTTTTTAAGTATAAGAAGTGCATTAGGTAGAGTTACCTGGCTGTAGGCTAGAAGTCGACTTGTTTTCTTTCGTAAGAACTTGCGCTCCTTCTACATGAAGAAAGATGACGAAGACTATGGGCGCGACACTATTGTTTACTCTTTTCGGCAGTTGTGCAAAGTTATCTCGTCATATATGAACAGATCGCAGCCTCCACATTTGATGACTAGAACAAGTTAACGTCTCAACGTTGATTTGGCAGGTCACATCGGAGACAAATGACATGACAAGTCAACGTAGTTAATGCGCTGTCCCTATCGCCAAACATGGTGATAATATAGCCAAATGTACTTGCTAATGTTGCACCAGTTGATGCTGCAGTCTAAGTGTTTATTGAATATTCTATTTCACATGGAGGTTATTAACCTTAACAAGGATGCGCCCAGCGCCAGCTGGCACTCACCGGAGAGATGGCCCTCGTCCTCCCAAAAATATTGACTTTACGATCCATCCAGTAAATGAAAATGGTGGAAATGATTGACTGATTGATGACTCACCTAATATCTGCCATAATATGAAGTCGAACAAGAAGATCAATAAATCCTTCCTTATCTTCTTGGCGTCGTTGTGATCATGGCACTCGGCGTGGGCGTCGCCGTCGGATCGTATAATTCTAACAACTATGTTGAAAATGTGTTCCAGTAGTCGATCCATTTCTTGATCTGGGTGGCGCTTACGAAACGAAGAAACGAAGTTTCGAATCCGGTCACTTGTAACTCTGTCGCAGATGTAGTCGGGGGCGCATGTTGTTCGCTTTGGGAACTTCGGGGAGGGGGTTTTCGCATTGTCTTTCGGTTTCCGCAGTGTGGCGCCGGCGCCCCGTTTATCCGAGGCAAGAAACTCGGACACGGCTGCCGCCAGGGTTGGGCTTGACCGCGGTCGGCGCAGGTTTAGAGACGTCTCGAAAGCGCTGGCCGTGTATTGGGATTCTCGCTCGCCTCTTGCGGGGGGCGAGAATCGGGGAGCGGGTCCTCCTCCGCGCGGCATGTTGGGCATGAACACGACAGCCGCCGCCGGCCGCTCCGGCGAATTGCCCAAGGCCTGGGTCGGGTCTTGCTGTTGTCGTTCTCCACAAGCCGCGCCAATAGCCTTGGGCCCAGCTGACTTGCCGCCGTCGTTGGCGCGGCGTGTGGTCTTCGTGATGGGCCACGGCGGCTCAGGCGATATGTATGCCCCAGGCTCGCTCGAGGGAGCCAGGTTCAAGACTTCGGAGGGGTTCGCGAAAGTTGGCCAGGCGGCGGCGGTGCTGGGCCCTCGACTCCTCAGGCGAGATTCCCAGAATGTCGCCCAGGCTCTGGAATTCTCGCCCCCCTCTTGCGGGGGGCGAGAATCCCAGCACGCGCCGGAAGGTCTGCGCCGTTTTTTGAGCAAAATCCGCAAGAAAATGCACCTAAAACAGCTGTCGACACCCCGGCGCGTGCTGGGATTCTCGCTCCCCTCTTGCGGGGGGCGAGAATCCCAGATCCCCGGCGAAGACTTGGAATTCTCGCCTGAGAAGTCGAAGTCGTGGCGCCAGCCATAGTCCCGCGCGCGCCTAAAGTTCAGCGGCTCCCCTTGTCTGAAATCTTCGCCACCGGTGAACTGGGAGCGAGAACGAACCAGCGACAGCAAGGAAGCCATAGCCTGAAAACGCCACCGGCAAGGCACTCACTGGTTGCGTGCAAAACTGGCTTGATTGGATTGCCGCGAGAGCCCAGGCCTTGGGGCATGTCGTCAGCCCATGGCACTCCCGGGGTGAGGCCGCCTTGGGGCTTGGGGTCCGCCGGGTAACGCCTCTCGGCGGCTGCACCCATTCCGCCGGCACTGCTCGGGGCGGCTTGTGTCTTGAGTAGTCTATCGGCGTTTTTCCGTTGTGTGGTCGGTGCGGGCCGCCTTGACGGACGGTGAGGCCCTGGCCTCCCCTCTCGCCACCCCCGCGCTTCTTGCTTGTGCTTGTTCGCTTGGGCGTGTGTCATTTTTGGCCGCTCTGTCTGTGTAGGTTGTCGTCGATTCGTCTGGTTTTGGTCGTGTCGTGTTGGTGGTGTCTGTTCGTTGCAAGTGATCAGCAAGACGGCTTCGGCGAGTATCTCTGTTAGTTTGTATCAAAAGAGCACACGAGAAAAAAGGGGGGCAAAGCGCCACCCAGTAATGTATACAACTTGCTAGGTGCCGCGTGTACAACTAACTCGGACCGAAAAATCGATCCCTGATCAAAACAAAGACGATGCAGCATACTCCTCTTCTGGTCGTGAATCCTCCTGCTGATTGCCACAGTTATTTCCGTTTGAAAAACAAGCAAAAAGAGGTAGGGCGAAGCTGTGAAGGAATAATCCGATGGAGATGCAATAGCCCATCTCCTTCATCTGGTGCGCCGGCGAAACAAGAAGGTCACCAAGATGAACACTTGGCAATCCCGAAAAACTCAATGGAATGTAAAATATGATGCATTAATATACACATGAAGATGTTGAAGAAACTGTTGGATCGTTTTTCAACTATGATTCCAATCCATTATGACGAACAGCAGTGCTGATGACCAAGCAAGCAACTACAATAAAGCCTGTGGTAATGAATAAAGCCTGTGGTTCTGGCAGACAAAAATTTCAGATCATTTTCAGAACTGTATCACCGCTTCTATCTTTATCTACACCTAGTAGAACCGAACTTCTTGGCCAAGTATTAACCTGGAAGAACCCGCGACGCGGCAAGGTGGAGAAAATATTGGCTTACTTTATACTAAGAGCTTGAGCTTTTTTTGCTGTTATTTCGACGTCCCACTCGTCCTACCTTAAAAAGTTCAGTCTTCAATGTCTTAGTAGAGTTTGTTAAGGATCTCTACTCTAACGAACGATTGATGAATAAGATTATTACACTTACATACATTGTAAACAATAAAACGCGATTTTGATCTGCCCATTGAGATTGATCTGCGATAGTTGTACCGGTTCTCATTCTTTGTGGTTCGAGTAATATTGAAGATATTCAACAACCGCGACATTAGATCGGCATCACTCATCTGAGATTTGGGACTCGATTATATCATCGTTGGGTGTTATCAGTACCTGATATCAAAATCTCCTATGCTCCCGTCCCCCGTACTAATATGATATCTACAGCATCATCCGCTAAGCGATTCAACCACTTCTACAAAATCTCAAATTTGACTTGATGTTATAGTCGTAGTTGTTATGTGATTCTACTTTTTTGGTATCAAGAACAAGAAAAGCAGGATATTAAATATTAGTTTTTATGTGATTGTACTTTTTTGGTATCAACAAGAACTAGCAAGTAGAACAGCAGGATATTTGTTATGTTTTGAGATATAATTAGATTTAAAGATGGAGCAAAGTAGAGAGCATCGACGCAGGAGGACACTTCCAGGCAATAAATCGCCTCGGGGTGTCAACGGGGAGAACCTCCAGTTGGGAGTGGTCAACAGCTTGTCTCTGCTTACCGATTTTGCCTCTGGTGTCATTTCAGCATTCAACAGATTCTTCACGTCTACGAGTACAACATCTTCTTCTACGTGGTCGTCGAGGTCCTCCAAGAAGTCCTCAAGCTTCATTTTCCTCGTTCAACACCTACAACAACATCTTCATGCACAACGACTACGACCACACTTCCTTTTTGCCCTGCTCCACCTGCACCTTTTTGCCCTGCTCATAGTCCTCTTTTTAGGTTTCTTGGTGCAACCAAGTGAGCAAGTTTCCTTTCGCCCAAGTGATGGTGATGGACAGGCGCAAGTTTCATTTTCTGCTCATCCTCGATTTGGGCGTTCTGCTCTCGTCCTCGATCATGCAAGGCAGAGTGATCTACGACAATTGAACGACTTACACAATCGCAGAGACGAAGCCATTCCGCCAAATCTGAGGCAAAACGTCATCACAGAAGCAGAACTGAATCGACAGGAGCAGGGGACTAATCTCCATGTACATTTGCCAATTGATGCAAACTACAACAATGGTGAAGATGATGCTCCCCCTGGAGAAGGAGAAGGTAGTGTTGAAACTAGCATAACATCTAGTACTGCTGTAGTTGTAGTTCCTACCCCAGGTGTGGCGTATAGCGTGAATCCTTATAACACCGCATTCTGCATCGATCCCTTTTGTGAAGGTCGTGGTAACGCTGGGGCAGGACAAGGTGAAGATATTAACGCTGGAGGACATCAACATGGACCTGGAGCTGCTCGTAGAACAGGGCGGTACTACTATCAGGTCCATGAAGGTCAACAAAGTCAGGCTCAACATTTGCCACCTTCTGAAGCTCCTACTGCAGAAGTTCAAGTCCGTCATCAAGGTGAAGATCAAGTGGAACAAGTAGATGTTGAAAACGAGGACGAAACCTATCTTCCAGAAGAACAAGAACAACAACAACAGGATGAGATGCAGAGTCTCAGTGTTGAAATCCACTTGGTCCTTCCGCCTGAGTTGGCGCCCCATCAAGCAATGTCGGTGAAGGATGAAACCCGCGATGAAGGAGCCACATTGGAGGAGGATATGGAAGGGGTTGAGTCTGTTGTAGATGGGCCAGCTGATCCGCAACATATGTCTGAACTATGTGATATGGCTGCTCGAGGTGAACCAGGTATAGGTGTAGGAAGGAGTTCCAATGATGCAGGAGAGGTCCTCGTCGGAAGATCCACGACATCAACAAGTACTGCGAAGAGCAATTACGTCATTGTCTTGACCAGTAAGAATGAGCAGAACATTAAGATTGACGCGAACACGCCGATTTGGTTGTTCTATCGTCACGCATGTGCTGCGATAATCGCGGATCGTGGAGGCCTAGGTCTGGATGTATCGCTGTGCAAGCGACTAGAGTTTCTCAATGTCTCGAAGACTAGCGAAGCTCTTCAGCAGCACAGTGTGACTGAACAAACTGAAGAAACGCAAGAAAGAGGTGGAATAGAACAAGAAGTACAACATGATCACCCATTGGCACGACTGCAAACACTTGAAGCAAATTCGAGTGAGATGCTTCAAGATATTTTTGCAGATGCTTTCGAAGATGCTCTAGCTCTTCAACAGGAGACGAAGGCGGCCCAGAATCAATCAAGCATGACCCCCCTTACTAAAGGAAGCAACAAGGTTGTCCTTTCTTTCAAAGTTGAAGTGGTAGGCGAAAATATGAGAGAGAAGAAAAGGCGCGCTGACTTCTGGAGGGCTGCAATGACCTCCGGCAACATGGGAGGACCTTCTCCTTCGACTATAGTAGAGACAACTCTCAGAGCAGCCGCATCTGTCGTGGATGATCGTATGACCATGGGAGAGAGCCCAGCACATATTCAGCGATTCTTAGCAGAGCAACTTCAACATCTCTTTCCGCAAGGTCCTCAAGAAGGAACACAGACACAGAGTCAAGAAACACTTCTAGAAGGCAAGAAAGAAGTTCCTCAAGGAACACAGGAGAGTCATCAAGAAACACTTGTAGAAGCCAAGGAGAAAGCAGTTAGTGGTAGTAGCAGTAGTAGTAGTGCGGCGACTATAGTTGTAACCGTAATTTCTCCTCCTTGTTCATTGGTTGGCACATATGCTAAACCCACCCATTGGAACGCAAAAGAGCT